CCAAAAAGATCACCACCATTGGAATTACTTGGTAACCACATTGTCAGACATGTGAAGTAAATATCAAATCAGCAAGGAGGTTGAGGTACTCTTATATGCCTTCACATGGTTTCCATGATCTAGCTGACATATGACTGAGATGGTATATATAGAGAATATATAGAATCAGACTGTGCTATTTCTTGTTCTGTACTTATGTGCAAGACTTTGGGGCCCAGGGCTCTCTAGCACTTAAAGAGCCTGTATTTGATGAATAGCCAGGTTAATAACAATGTAGCAGGGAATAGAAAGGATGTGGAGAAGTTGGAGAGTCCAGCAGAGGGCAATGAAAATGATTTAGGGGCTGGGGCACATGACTTAGAGGCTGAGGGAACTGGGTTTATTTAGTTTGCAGAAGAGAAGGCTGAGATGGGGTTTAATAGCAGCCTTTAACTATCTTAAGGGTAGTTCCAAAGACCATGGAGCTGGACTGTTGTCACTGGTGGCAGATGACAGAACAAGGAGCAATGGTATCAAGTTGCAGCAAGGGAGGTTTAAGTTGGATAGTAGGAAAATCTTTCTCACTCGAAGGGTGGTGGAGCACTGGAACAGGTTACTGAGAGAGGTGGTAGATTCTCCATCCTTGGAGGTTTTTAAGGCCCAGCTTGACAAAGCCCTGGTTGGAATGATCTAGTTGGAGATGATGCTGCCCTAAGCATGGGGTTGATGACCACCTGACTTCCCTTCCAATCCTAATTTTCTATGATGCTCTGATTGTAATAGCCTATTAACAACTACACTTACAAGAAGACACCCACTGTATGGGTATGTTTGCTGCCTGTATGTGTATTTATGAATTATATATTGTGTAATATATAATGACTAAATGACTGGTAAGCAGGTAAATTCAATAATATAAACAAATAGTAAATGTATTTTAATTTTCCCAACCACACTTCTATTCTTATTATATCATTACATTCTTAAAATCTTAAGGCCAGTTTATTGAGGCTGGGCAGGCATTCATTTGTGGTACTACAAGTATGTCAGCACTGTGTAGCCTTATAAAGTGTACAGACATGCCAGTCCCCTGACTAGAAACCTACATAGTTGCCTTACAGGTGAGCTTCCCAACCAGGGGACAATAGGGACCTGCTCCTTGAGTCCCCCATCCCTAGGGGAGCCTGATCACTGACAGCCTACCCTCTCTCCTGCCATTCAGGATGTTAAAGCCCCCTACTGCCTGTGGGATGGTAGGGATGACGAGAACTGCTCTCCTTGCCTTCACTGCTTTTGTGCTGGGCAACTGCACAGATGTTAGGGCAGTGGGAGCTGCTGCCACCACTTTAAAATGACCTGCAAAAGCCAGGATTCTTCAAGTGGTGATAGCATTTCCCAGGGGGCAACTCTAATGGCCATAGTGGCTACGACAGTCTGCTCTGCCCAGCTCTGCAGATCAGCATCTACCTTTCTCTGGGACTCTTTAAGCAGCAGTAGCAGGGTCCCAGCAGGGCTCACTGACAGCTCGCATTGGAAGGGTTATCAAGGAGCCAGCTGTTCTCCCTCCCTTTTCCCTTGGAGGAGGGAAGGGAGAGTGGAGAGTGAGATGCTGGGGGGCCTACAAACCCCTGTAGCACTACAAGTAACTGTAAAGATGTTACATGTAGTGCTACAAAACCATTAAATTTCTCTTTCAAAGTGCTGCTGTTTTGTAGCTCTTTCACTATTTTTGTAGCACTACAAACAGCTCAAACCTCTGTGCGTTCACTTTTTCTAGGGCTGCAAGTGTGTCAGTGCTACAAATGTAATTCCTGCCCCTGGTTTAACCTAAGCCTGTGCCCACACATTTACAATTTGGCTAACTTCCCATGATATTAATAGAGCTCCCCTCATGCTTTTTAAAGTCAGGCATGTGTTTAAAGATCTTATTGAATATAGGTCTCAGTTAGCAATTACTGAATATGGGTCTCAGGTATTCATTTTAGTTTCTTCAACTACAGCATTTTTTTCCTTGTGTCTTTATATATATATATATTATATATATTTTATATATATATATATATATATATA